CACTCCCCATTACCCTGGGCAGGAGGGCCAGTAGAGTGTGTGAGGGCACAGCAAATGAGAGTAAATGGAAGAGGGAGGAAGAGAGAAAGAGAACTAAAAAGAATCAGACAGAGAAATAGAAAGCAATAGAAGATCGTACCCTAACATTATTTTGGTCCATATCTCGTTCTAACAAGAGAACTGTGAGCAACCACACACATACATATAAACACCCACTAGCGCAGAATATGTCGTTACTAAGCATTGATGTATTCAAAAAGCAGCAGTGCATTACTCCTGATGTTCAAGTTATGCAATGCTGCGTGAGCTTACTCTTATAAATTTGCTATATATAGGCCTATATATTTTTAGGTGCATTGTTTTTACATTGCGATTTATAGCAACATGTGGAGTCAGTCAAATGATGCCACACAGGTGGGCAGCATGGTATGGGAGGCAAAACAAGAGTATCTGGGTCAATCCTGTTATGCAGTGCCTTTAAAACTCTGTAACTTGAATATGCCTGTGTTGTTATTCAAGGAGGAATTTAAATGAAAGGCTATACCAAACTTTCAGAAATGTGCCCTGGTTAAGCTCAGCCACTTTATTTATTATACCGTTTTACACCATTACAAGACAACTGCAGGACAAAATTAATCTGACAGGATAAAAAAAGTTCTAATTTTAGCCATTGTTTGGTGAGTGACGGAGAATTAGCTTACATGATGGTGTTGACTTGATATTTTTAACAGCTTTTGTAATTATGTTGTCATTACTGATATCTGTAGTTGTAAAAAAAAATAATAATTAAATGCTTAAGCATGAAATAAACCATCTAATGCCTCAAAACATCATGTTTATGCTGTTGTTTTACCACCTGAAATTATATTGTCCCTTCCTGAGGATGATGTCTTTAAGCAACTGGCTTATATAAAGAGAAATTACAAAACACTAACAGGATGGAAAGTGATATTAAGTGATAAAATGATTAACTAAATGAAAATGCCCAAGAAAACATGTTTTGTTTGAAACAATCACGGAAAAGGGAAAAATTAAGAAACACCTGGAAAATATATTGCCTATTTTTACATGTCAGAAGTTTAATATTGTAGCACCAGGGGATATGGCAAACACAGCAACATCTGCTCAAAGTGGTATAATGATTTAGAATTCACCCCATGTTCCCTTAGTTGTGATATTGTGAAAAAATTAACTAATGTGATTTCCATCTTTAGAAATGGTGTGTTTTAAAACTTAATAAAAAATCGCAAAAAAAAAAAAAGAAATGGTGTGTTTTACTGTTTTATCCACTTTGTTAAGACATATATAACCAGTGTTGGGGAAAGTTACTTTTAAAAGTAATGCATTACAATATTGTGTTACTCCGTAAAAAAGTAACTAATTACGTTACTTAGTTACTTTTTATGGAAAGTAATGTGTTACTTTACTAGTTACTTGAAAAAAGTAATCTGATTACGTAACTTGCGTTACTTGTAATATATTACCCCCAACACTGTATATAACTGATGATAACATGATGATAATGACCCATCAGTTCAATCTGTTGGTTTCCTATCCATTGGTTGAAATACTTGCAGACTTTATACAGACATAGTTTTTTTCTGTTCAAATCTAGGAATTTAGAAAATGATTCAAAAATGTCAAATGTCAGAATAGGTATAATTTAACATAATGATGATATCAAATAATCGGTTGTGCTGTATTGCAAATGCAAATTATCTCTTTAAAGCCATTATAGAAAATGTCACCTAAGGTCTTCCATGCAGTTCAACAGGCATTGTGCACACATACACACAGACACAGAAGCTAATCAGAAAGTGGGATCTTATTTTCCAGTCCAAATTTCTGCTGAGGATTCTTTTAAAGACGATTTTACAGAGTCGTACATACACACACTCTTCACCAGGATAATGTGGCTGACAGAGCCTAGAAAATAATGATAATTAAGATAAATCTAAAGCAGAAGATGTTGGGGGTGAAATCACAGTAATGACCGTGGTGGTTTTAATGGCTGCTCACAAAGCTTAGGCCAAAAAACAATTTAACTTTGTTATTTTAAGGTTTACAAGGAGATTTTGAGGCCAATGGCCATGTTTGAGCAAGAGGTTGCATTATACTGGCAAATCATTGACTGCTGTGAGAGATCTACTAAAGGTGACGTAATAAATCTAAACAGCCGCAGATAATCTCATTGCCGTATCTGACGCTCTTTGATGTGACGTTTTTGTCTATTTTGATGCTCTTTGAGGAATAATCCAAATATCTCTCTCTGCATTCTGCGTGTGGATGTGGACTGCATGCTAATAGTGTATTGAGGGGTTGGAGTTGATTAAAAATTGTCATAATAATGGTTCACTTTAGGAGCAATTCACTAAGAATGAATCGTGCGCCACTGTTAGCACCGTTTATTTCATTGTGCTGTTTTGAATTGTTTTAGCACCCAATTCACTAAAGAAATTATGCATTATGACGGCTTCATCATTTGATCATGCGCATGCTAAACTGGCACAACTTTTCGTGAATTTGCCTCCTATGCTTTCAATAAGAATCAAAATGAATTAGACAAAATTGTTTCTAAGGCGTCCATTCCAAGGACCTTTTTAATGAAACATGAGCAGAATGAAATTCTGTGTACATCATACATAAACATTTAGCGTATTATGAATGATTTGCAGAGAAATTCATTCTGCTTGTGGCAGAATGTATTTAATGGTTGCAATGTGTTTGTGGATGATGGAGGACTCTGTGTTTGTTTACGGTTATTTTATTCATAGCAAATGAGGATCATGTCAAGTCACAGCTGTCATACTGTCAAGCTCTGAACTCCATGATAGATAAATCTACATTGTTAACTGTCCTTCCACAACCATAATCTGACCTCTCTTATCTCTCATAGCAACCTCAGACTGTCACACAGTACTTCACACATGTCACACAGTACTGAATTCAGGTAGTGTCATGATATTCACAGAAATCCAGCAGAAAGGTCATAGGTGAGAAGAGTCAGAAGAGTTTAGTGTATGTGCTCATGTATTTTTGAGAAGTGAGAATACAGCCGTCTGAAAGCTGAAAGATGCACTTTCACAAGCAGTATATGGATGTAGGAAGGCATCAAGGCACATCAGAGTTCAATGTTTGCATAACGTTCTGTCTACTAAGATGCCATCACCCTTTTTTGTTTTTCCTAGCCTATAATAAGACTGAGAATAGCTTCTGACAGGGTGGTTGAAATCTGTAAATTAGTTTAAACACTACAAAGTTTGGGGTTTGTTAAGATGCTTTCTTTATTTTTGAAAGAAATTATATTTTAGCATGGACACATTCAGTGGCTCAAGAAATAACAGTAAAGACTTTTACATTGTTGCAAAAAAAAATGTTGTTCTTTTGAACTTTTTATTCATCCAAGAATCCTGAATCCAAGACAAAAAAAAAAGAGAAAAAAATGTATCGTGGTTTCCCCATAAATATTACACACAACTTTTTCAACATTGATGACAATAAGAAATGTATTTGATCAACAAACCAGTATATTAGAATGATTTGAATAATGACTGCCCAAGAAGTAGGTTTCATCAGAAGGCACCTTTTCCAGAAGTGTTGTCTGTTAAGTCATTAACTGACTAGGCACAAATGCAGAAAGGCCGTTAGTTTTGGACTCTGACGTGTATTAGGCAGTTTGATACAGGCATTTTATTTCCATTGGAATATTTCTACATGCGCGAGATATGTGTCTGTCTCTCTGTCTGTGTGTGTGTGTGTGTGTGTGTGTGTGTGTGTGTCAGTCTTTGATCAGTAAAGTTCCTGGTGACTTGGAGGCAGATGAAACAGTTTTTCCAAATTAGAGCACCCACTCACTCACCCTCTGTCTCAGCCATGCCCCCCTCTCTACTGTCTCAAGCTCTCACTTTCATTCTTAGCCTGCTGTTATCAGACATTTGACTAAATAAGATCAGAGGTCAACTACCAAAACAAATGTTTTTTTTTTTTCAGTCCACTATTTTTCCTACTTTCTTCTTCTTTTTCAGTTTTATAGATGATTTATTTTATTTTGATGACAATGCCCAACTGATGGCATTATTGCACTCTCTATTAGGGATGGTAAGATTCACCGAGTGTGCATAAGATACAAGTTGCCATTTGTATCGTGATGCATTGTTTCTTACATATTTGCATAGGTAAAAACTATTTATATATAATTATTAGTAGATGCACTATACTAAAAATAATTTGTGACCAATATTTTATATGTAGATTGATTTCTCCTCTCTAAACTGTTTCTCTAGCATGTTCTCTCATCACCATTGCTGCTATATAAATATGATATATCACAGCACTACTGATTTGCTGTCTGTCCGAACCAAAGAAATAAAAGCAAGCTATTTGTACCATATTGAATTGCATAGCATCATATTTTTTCCATTGCATCATATTGCATTGAATCGCATTGTGTTGAATCGAATCGAAATCGGATCGCACTGCATCGTAATAGGGGTGAATCGTATTGCATCGCATTGGTAGCTGCTTCATATGTATCTTTAATGTATTGTATCGTTGGCTATGCATTGAGATGCGTATCGCATCGGCCTGTTATGAAGATGCACATCCCTACTCTCTATCAATTATTTTAGTATGTTTATATGCTATATAGTATTTATTTTAATTTTAAAATTTATTTAAATTTTTTACATTTTTGTTTAAGTTTTAGTAATTTTTAATGTGCTTTTGTCATTTTTAGTAGTTTTTTAATCTCATTTATTATTTATATCATTTATTTGTTTTAGTTTTAGTAATTTTAGTACTTAAATTTCTCATTTTCAAGTTTTTGATAATATTTATATTTCATAATATTTCAATTTTATTTTATATCAGCTGTATTTCAATGGCCAAAAGCAATTTGTAATAGTTTTGTCTAAAAATTATATTACTGCTCTCCATTAACAAATCTGTCTGTATTTTTTCTTTCCCCCTTTCTTCTATTTCTCCTCTACTTTACTATTTAGGTTTTCTTAGCACAGGAGATCAGTCTGCTAAAGGGAACTATGGCCTGTTGGATCAAATCCAGGCCTTGCGTTGGCTGAATGAGAATATTGGACACTTCGGTGGTGATCCTGAACGAATCACTATCTTTGGCTCTGGAGCTGGAGCGTCTTGTGTCAACCTACTCATCCTGTCCCACCACTCTGAGGGTAAGACAAATGCATGTGTTTGTCCATGTGTTAATGCTTTAAAGTGTGTGTGTGTGTGTGTGTGTGTGTGTGTGTGTGTGTGTGTGTGTGTGTGTTAATGCTTTAACAGACTAATACTATCCCTGCACAGGTTTCCATCTCATTATTAATGCTGTGTGCATGTGTGTGTTACCTCACAAAATGTCTCACCGTCCTGTCCAACTGTGTTCTGTTGCATTGCTCATCAAAAACGTCCACCTTTACCCGCACCATCTTCATCATCACTGTCATCCTCACCTAACATCAGTCCTACAGCCCTCAACTGTCAGTCACACCAGGTAAGTCATGATAGTTTTTACCCTGGAGAAACCAATCATGTTATTTCCCTGTAAGGAGCCCAAGCCAACTGAAACAGGAAGAGATAAACAAATAAAGGTATGTAGGTAAGTGTTAAAGGGATAGTCCACCTAAAAATGAAAATTCTGTCATTGTTTCCTCGCCCTCATGTCATGTATGGAACAAAAAAGAAAATAATCTGAAGAATGTTAGTAACGGAGCACTTTCAGTCTCACTGACTTCCATTGTAATTTTAAAGACAAAACATAAAGTGAATTCAAAGGGGGTCAAAACTGTTTGGTTATCATTCTGCTAAATATGTTCTTGTGTTTACAAAGAAATTTATACAGATTTGGAATGACTTCAGGGTGAGTAAATGATGAATGTTAATTTTTGGGTGGACTATCCCTTTAAAGTTAAGGAAGTGGATAGAGTTCATGCGAAGTGAAAAAAAATAGCGAAGTGATTTTTTTGAGCACCTCTTAACTAAATGTCTGTTTGTGTGCCTGTACAAGCTAGGTAAAGAGAAAAGAACAGGCGTGTTAGCAGAGACAAAGCTACAGTAGCTCCATATTGATTTCTCTGGGAAAGTTAACATGCTCTCCAATAATTAAAAAGACAGAAAGAAAGGAAGGAGGGCATAACAAGGAAAAGACGAGCCCTTTGGTAATATGTTTCTACTCTTCTCTTGAGAGTAAGAAAAAGGCTTTGTTTGTAAGTGAAAAGGCTACAAGAGAATAATAGATTTGCTGTTATTATTTCAATGCAAGATGGAATTAGTACGATGTTATCTCAATAATCACTGAAAAATGTTGTTTGTGGCAAACCCAATCCTCATTTTCTTCTGTTCTCAGTTTTTCATTGATGCAATTCCAGCTGACACTGTGTTAAGAGCTACTGGAATTGACATCAAACAATTTACATCCAATTAACAAGCCCTGGATATACTGAATATACAACATAACATTTAAATAACCGTACTACAGTATACCATTATATCACTGTTGAAATTTAGTTGACAAGAAATACTTATGGAAAACTGACATGTCCTTCATGTCCTTTTAAAACTAATTTTGCTAATTAGTATGCATGTAGCTTTTATGACCTCATATTACATTTGAGACTACATGAGATATATTTACTTAATTTGTCACACATCAGGACTATTGGAAATTATGAAAACCATTTCAAACCATTGACAAATTATGAAGGTGACCAGTTACAGGACACTTTCCATTATTTATTCAAATATATTTAAAAATAAAATTGATGTTTTAAAAAAAATCCATGGATGTTATGCGTCAACGACCCTTATATGTATAAACCAGGTATATGATGTATGCAGGTTTTCGTCTGTGTAGTTAACAGCTTGTTATTGTTCCCTCTCATCCCAGGCCTGTTTCAGAGAGCCATTGCTCAGAGTGGTTCAGCCATCTCCAGCTGGTCCATTAGCTACCAGCCCTTGAAGTACACTAAGATTCTGGCCCGTAAAGTGGGATGCACATATGGGGAGACCGCAGACCTGGTGGATTGTCTCCGCAGGAAAAATTTCAGAGAGTTGGTGGATCAGGACATTCAGCCGGCCCGCTACCACATTGCATTTGGACCTGTGATGGACGGAGACGTTGTGCCAGATGACCCCGAGATCCTGATGCAGCAGGTGATCTTGAGATTACTTTCATTTGTGAGGAAGGTTTCTAAGACCTATGTTAATTCAAAATTCAGCATAGTCTATCTTTCCAAGCCAAATATTAGGTTTAAACTATTTCCAGTAAACCACCCAAACTACCTTTTAAACCAAATCTTAGTGAAGCTTCAAGCATAGGCTTATGAATAAAGCTTCATCAGATCTACTTTTGTAACTGCAGACTAAATGTTTCATGAAAATTAGTGACACCATATACTTTTGATGTGCCATCATAGGCTATCATGTTATACAACAATGTCATATAAGTGGGTCAAAGTCAGTAAATTCTTAAATAAATTATACTTTTTTTATTAATGAATGATATTCATAATCTTTAAAATTGTCACTTCTTATTTATCATTTATTAAAAATGATAAATGTAACAAAGACCAAAATAATTGGGTGTTTATGGGTGGAATTTCAGGATTTTCAGATCTCAGGAAAAGGTATTTTTTAAGATCTCATGAAAAAACTGCAAAGTAAAACTGCCCAGATGTTAACACATTTTATAAATGTATTAAAGTGAGAAATGTATAAAGTCTAGGTATAGGGGACAAGCCTAACATAATGAAATTCTGTCTAATTTATCATTTCTAAATTAGGAATATTTTATTAAATATACATGACCAAGTTTAAAGCTATTATAATCTACCCTTTAAAACTAAGTTCTAAGTTACTTAAAGGGGTTTTTGAACCTTAAACTGCATAAACACATTTCATTACACCAAATACACAAAATAATGTTCTTTTTAGCAGCATCATATGACCCCTTTAAAATCATTCTAGGTAACAAAAGTTGATGAATGCCATATATGGAAGAAATCTTTTTTTTTTTTTTTCCTTCCTACTGGTTCCTTGCAATAAGTTTGTCAGAGAATGTTAAATTCTTTCTCCACTAGGGGGAGTTCTTGAACTACGACCTTCTGATTGGTGTAAATCAAGGAGAGGGGCTGAAGTTTGTGGATGATGGGGGCACTGAGAGTGAAGAGGGCATTTCAGCTGCAGCTTTTGACTACACCATCTCCAACTTTGTGGATAACCTCTATGGATATCCTAAAGGTACGATCTTAAGTCCCCTTTTTATTTGACTTTTATTTTTCTTGTCTGTTTTACAATTATCATTAGAAAGTAAACATCTAGGTATCTATATCAGCATATTTCATATTAAATTGTGCCAGAGTTTGACAGTTTTGTCAAGGTGAAAAAAATGGGTCTTTAGATTAAATTCTCCTGAATACAGGTGTAATGCAGAGCAGTCCTTGTAGTTCATATGTTTATTTTGCCAAGTGAAGACTCAAGTCTGGTTGGGTAAACATCATTCTGACTTTTAATGAGGGACAATACTAAGTACAACAATAAAATTGGTAGGCTACTAGATATTCTGCTTACTCTTGATTAGGTGCTATTGTTAACATTTTCCACCAGAGGGCGATAAAAGACAAGCAATGTCCATCAGCATGCTATTTTATGTGACCTGTAATATGGAGATTTTATGTCTGGTATTTAATGTCCTATGCATATGAGCTATTAAATATTGTTATTTTACAAATAACATGCATTCATGGGTGAATTTTCTCCAAGTTCATCAGACAAACATTCATATACACACTCAAATTCTCTTGTCTGTTCTTTTTGTAGGTAAAGACATCCTGAGGGAGACTATTAAGTTCATGTACACAGACTGGGCAGACCGAGACAATGGGGAAATGCGGCGCAAGACTCTCCTGGCATTATTCACTGATCACCAGTGGGTAGCACCAGCCGTAGCTACTGCCAAGCTCCACGCGGAGTACCAGTCTCCCGTCTACTTCTACACCTTCTATCACCACTGCCAAACAGAGACTCGACCCGAATGGGCAGACGCTGCACACGGGGATGAGATACCATATGTGTTTGGTGTGCCCATGATTGGAGCAACAGACCTCTTCCCTTGCAACTTTTCCAAAAATGATGTCATGCTTAGCGCTGTGGTGATGACATACTGGACCAACTTTGCCAAGACCGGGTGAGTCTGAATATGCAAAATATTATTTATTTCTGTTTAAATAGCTAAATTATAGTCATAACACATTTCTTTGAAATTACATTCAAATTCATTCTAAAATCGTTTTATTTCCTGACATTAAAATTGGGTCTGGACGATATGGCAAATTAGATATCATCATGACTTTTTTTCCCCGTATCATTCAATATAGATGTGTATCATGATATTCATTTCATATAATTAATAGGGAAGGAAATTCCACATGTTTGTTAGACCTCGAGAATTTCGAGTTTTATTTTTTCTGGATTTATACATTTTTCATCAAAAATGGTGTCATAATAAAATGAATTCAGAAATATAACAATTCATTTACAACAACACATTGCATTTTTATTTTGTGCTGCACAACAGAATTTGTATGCTGTATAAATTAAAACATGGTTGAAAAAATATCTTGGTTGTATGATATTCATTAAAATTAGGTAATAAAATTACTTTGAGAAGTAGCCTACATTTTACTATACAACCCTAGTGAAAAAGTAATATACAGTAGTCAACATTTGAAGTGGCTCAAAAAAGCTCATCAAATTTGTCCTAAGACAAGAACACATTTTGGTTTTAGCTTTGATGAAAGGTTTTTGATCCATGTCAAATGTTGACTAGTGGGTTTAAAATACATTTATTTATACTACTTGTGTACAATGCACATTTCCTAATATTAAGCCTAAAATGTGTATTAATGTCACTATTGGTGAGGACTGTATGATCTTTGATTAATATCGGTCTTTAAATGCAAGATATTTAAAGTGTACCTATAGTATACTTGCAATGGTTCCACTTTAGCACAATCAAATATACTTCAGTATATCTTTAGTTGGATTTCAGCACAACTTCTGCACAATTAAAGTGCAAAAGTACAAAATTAGTTCCAATTTAGCAACCTACTATGAGAGCCTGTTCTAGTACAGCCCCAAAACAAAATCAAGACATTGTAAAAGAGCATAATAGGACCCCTTTAAGTATACCAGTTTAGTATACCAAAAGTACAATAGAAGGGTATTTTTATTAAGCACATAAATATGTAAATGTTTTTGTAGTATACTTAGCATGAAATAAATGTATATTTATTTTTCACTAGGGAATAGTAATATATTTCTGTCAAAAATGTCAGTGTAAGCCAAACCTTTATTTTGGCAGCTTGACATTGAGACCTTGAGTTTCAGTGTTCCAGATTGTCTAGATGTTGGCTAAATATTGAAAATTTCTCAAAAGTTTATTATATTGTGCTTTTTTTTTTTTCAATAAATATCAAAATCTTTTATCACCTGGCCCGAATTCAAATTGCAGTTCTGTATCCTGTTTTAAATTCCAATTTGATTTAAAAAGGCTTCTCAATTAAAAAGTTCTGAGTGGCTCACAACATCGGTGTGGAATTCATTCAAATACCCTTTTGACACAAGATATCTGTTTTCTCTAGGGATCCCAACTTGCCTGTTCCTCAGGACACCAAGTTCATCCACACCAAGCCCAACCGCTTTGAGGAAGTGATCTGGACCAAGTTCAACTCCAAAGACAAGCAGTATCTCCACATTGGCCTGAAGCCTCGCATCCGGGACAACTACCGAGCAAATAAGGTTGCCTTCTGGCTGGAACTGGTTCCTCACCTCCACAACCTTCACGAGGAGGTTTTCAGCACCGCCACAACCCGGCTGCCTCCAGGAACCGCCCGCACCCCACACTGGAAGGGTCAGGGACCTCGTACCACACGCCATCCCATCCCAACCTTCCCTACAGAATCGGACCCAGATGGCTCAGAGCCCCCTCGATTCCCTCCCTTCCCAAGCGACACCCGGGACTACTCTACAGAACTGAGTGTGACGGTAGCTGTCGGTGCATCACTCCTCTTCCTCAACATCCTTGCCTTCGCCGCACTTTACTACAAACGTGACAAACGGCACGAGATGCGACGGCACCGACTGTCCCCGCAGCGAGGCGGACCCGCTAATGACTTAGCACACAGCCAAGAGGAAGAGATCATGTCCCTGCAAATGAAGCACTCGGAGCACGACGCCCACCACGACATGGAGCCGTTGCGACCGCATGATATTTTACGTCCCGCATGCCCACCCGACTACACATTGGCACTTCGGCGGGCACCCGACGATGTTCCGCTCATGACCCCCAATACTATCACCATGATTCCCAGCACCATTACTGGCATGCAACCTCTCCATGCCTTCAACACTTATCCTACAACCACCGGCCACAACAACACCTTACCCCACCCTCACTCCACCACCCGTGTATAGTAGCACCCCCAAACGAGAGGACTAGCTCTCATACATATCCAGTTTTCTCTCTCTGTCCACCTTTCCAAGCTCCTAAACTTAAGATGCTCTCAGTTCAGCTGTCTAGAGCAGCTACTCCTGTTGGCGTTCTCATAGACACAATCAAGGTTTCGTAGAAGTTGCACACACTAGAGGAGCTCTGTTTGTAGACTCAACGATGAGCAACAGATTTGGTCGGCAGTGACAAGTCATCAGCCTCGTACTGGATTCAACTTGCTGTTTGTTTTTACACATTGTTCTTAAAGAAATTGGGCATCAGTGATTGACTAAGCTGATCCGATGTCATGAGGGGAAATTATGACATTTACCCACTTTTCTTCTCTCACTAAATTGGCAGAGTGCAGATTTCATCCATCCTTTTTGTCATCCTCCTTTGCTATTCCATTACCAGCCCATCGCTCTCTGTCCGAATGTGATCTGTGTCCTTGGATTATGTTTTATATGAATCATAGGGGCATTCGATAAAAGGTGGTAGCTGGATATGTTGTGTTAACCTGCAGTCTTGTGTCAAGTATTAAATCATACCTTGTAACAAGAGACGCAGAGAATGAGAGAAAATGACAGCATCTGACAGAAGACGAAAACAAAAGTGCCAACCTCCACTCTTTTTCTCTCACTGTCATTTTATCACACATATTTGACTTGGCTATGTGTTGTTTCTTAGGAAGATTTTTGTATGTATAAATATAAAGACAAATATATAAAAGAATGATATAAATATATATTTACATGGATTGCTCGGTGGGATCTATGCATGAAATATTTTAAAGCACCAAGATGGACATTTGCATTTTTTTTTTTTAAGTTTGCTTGCTTAAAATGCCTGCAGAAACCTTCTCTGCAGTAGTATTTTCGTCAGTATTAGTCCAAATATAACCTCTTCCTCAGTCTGACCACTCTATAGGACAGTATCCTCTCTCTGTATCCAGAAAGAGAGCTATTGGCAATATTCTTTTAAATGCTTTTTGACATTCATTTGCAGTTGTTGGTGCTATTATTTGACCATCAACCATGTAGGGCTCTGCCAGAGCCATCTGTGATGGTCCGGACAGTTGCATAAATACAGCAAATAGCGAATGCACATGTAGCTTTGCATCTCTTTTATGGGCCTCTGACCGTTATATTTCTCAGATACAAATGATTCTCTTACACCTCGGCCCATCTTTCTCTCTCTGTGGCCTCTCTCGTTCTATCTCTGTCCTTACTCTTTCAGTTCAAAATCATTTGGTTTTTGACAACCAAATTTAATAAGCATCTTTTTTGTGTATTTGTGCGTGTGCACACATAAAGAGTGTGTTTTCTAGGCAATAGCTAGGTGTCCTGTACATTTGTGTTAATGTGAATGTGTGAGATAAGAGAATATGAGACGGAGAGGCACAACGAGAGAGAGAAATGCAGACTTCTGAGTTTGTTCAATCCTCATAACACAGAAATCTCCTTCATCTGTGGCCCTCTATCATTCAGGAAAACCTACCTGGCCATTTTACATACAAAATAGTTAGGAATAGTCTGGAAGCACTGCTAATGTGTTTACCCACATCTCTACATATCTCACATCTGTCTGCACTGCACACTTGACCTTTTTGACAAGGTTATGACAAGCACAGCAAATAGTGGTGGTGGCCAACCAGATCTATATATAGACAAATCTTACAGATTGTTTCTTCAGAATATATGTTCAGGTTAAAGAACGAATGGCTCAGAATCACTGGACAGTAACTGCGGGATAAACATGATCACTTACGTTCTCTTCATGCCTTGTTAGTCATATTTTTCTGCCACTGCTGTGTGTCACGGGAGGATGACGGTTTGTCTCACTGTTGGCTCCGCTTGCCAGTGTATTGAGTCTGAGATGCCCAGGACCATCATGATGGAGCAAGAACTAAAGCCAGTATGCTGCACAATGTACTAAACATGAACAGACTCTAATAGCATTGCTACGCAAACATGCTGGAGTTTCAGTCATGAAAACAGAACTTTCTTCTGCGGTGTGGACTGAAAACAACAACAACTGGACAATAAACGAAGGGAGATTGTAACAAACTTCAGTTGCAGGTACCTTCTGGAGATCCGAGAGTGTAGGTTGGACCTGTGGATATGTACCATCTGTGGACTTTTGTGTGGTTGTAGGTATAACTGAACTCCATTTTAAACAAACTATGAGGAGTTGACTAGAGCTGTGTACAAAACAACCTCAGTTCTAATAATCAATACCGTTTTACGGGATGAGTTCCAACTCTTTTGTTATTTCTCTCGTTTGTTTTTGTACGCTCAACCACTAGAGTGTGATGTCGTGGTACATACAGAATAAAGACTCTACATCCATTACGAGTCATTCATTGGGTCTTCAGTATAGCGTACAGTGAGAGAAGGAGAAATAGAAATGAACTGTACATTTTTAAGTGTAAGAACAAATCAACTGAAAATATTTGTAAATATTCAGTGACTTGTTTAAATGTTTTGTTTGTTTTTCTTTTCTTTTGGTTTTGTTTTTTCTTTCTGGTCGAATTAAATTTGAAATACTTTGTGACCAGGACAACAGGTGCAAGTTCTAATTCAGCCACCAGCAAAATTGATGAATCTCATTCGTTAAATTCACTTTCTGCTGCTTCATTTCGTTTTGGGATCAGAGGATGGCGATGATGACTTGCTCCTATATTTGAGCTTAAAGAGATTGTGTATTATGTATGTAGCATACCAATGTCGCTTGAATCATCACAGCTAGTCATATTTCTGCACAAGTATGATTGGCTGTCTGTTTCATATACAAAGCCTGCCCGTTTTCAAAATTCTTTGATATGGAGATGGACTAGAACGTCCAGTTTATTTAAGCAAAGTAAGCACTGGAATCCATGGTGGTTATGAGAAGTTTTTCATCTGCCATGAACTTGTTGTAGCATTGAATTTTTACCAAAAGGTGGTAGGGATTTTATGAAATATCTAAAATAGGGGAAAAGTACTGTTTGATGGTCACATTTGTACACTTAAGCATACATTTTATTATTTTTGACTGAATTAAGCATCTAGTGAAATAATGCCAAATTAAAGATGGCATAAAGAGTGCACGAGGATTTCAATATGTTTAAAGATTACTGAATAAATGAAGCACACGTTATTCCTCTAAGAAAATAAACACATTTTACTGGGTCCTAAAGCAAATTTACACCTGTTGCCCTGTTTTACTATATATGTTCAGAATCAGAACGCCAAGCTTGATGAAGAATAAACATGTTAATAATGGATTTTTTTTTAAAAAAGAAAGGTAAAATTATATAAATAAGGTGATGATATTTCTCTTTATTTAGAAGTTATTACACACTGTATGCTGTGACTCTGATCTGGGGAACATTAAAGAAATTCATAGCCAGACAACAGACTCTTGTTTTCTTTTAATCAAATTGTCATCTAAATGACTCATTTAATTAGAAGGAATTAACTGCAATAAATTGCTATACCTGAAGTGTATTTCCCAACAACAACCGTGATGGAAATGCCTTCTTTGACCAACAGACATTACTGTAAATGTAGTCTTACAGTCATTTACAGAATGGTTGAAACACTGTTATAGGAAGATAAACATGTTCACTAGTGATTCGCTCATTTGTCTCCAGAGCAAATTAGAACAAATTTGCTAGAGATAAATTAGCTCTTATTTTTATTATTATCTTTTCTGTTAGTGTTGAAAAATCAAAGAATAATTTTAAAAATCTGCCAGACATCTAACTCTGTTTAATTGATTTATTCAACTCTGTTTGCAGTAAGTAAAGAAGTATGTATTACTGAGGCCTAGATATCACTTGTCACTGGGGGGAAAGACTATTGAAACATTACTGATGTGTCAATTTTATTTTAGAGTCTAGACAGGCTAACATACTATGTGGTACAAATGCAGACAAGAATGATACAAACAGTCAAAGTCTCAGTGCTGTGAGACTGTTTTATCAGTACTCTTGGACAATTAAATTTGAGAACCAGAACTAACTGTTAGATAAATTTTTATAACGATTGTTTTATCATCAATAAGACTGGTGAGTGATTATTAATTATGTGCATGGCTATGTTTGTTTACACTGAAATGCAGCATGAGGAAGCAGTAAATATATTTCTAAAATAATCATTTCTTTTAGGCTATTTTTTAGCGTGATTGTATAAGTGTTTCGATGAGAGATCTGTGATTACTTTGATGTTTTTTGACACATAAGCTACTGTGTGATTAAAAAAGGCTGTTTTTGAAGCAGTTTCATTTATAGTGTGTAGGTATTAAAGACAACTACATGACAACCTTGACAGCACCGATGCAGATGTTACGTTATAAAACATAACATTTGCGTTTAATTATTTACCAACCACTTTATTCCAAAGCACAGATTTGTTACGTTGGTTACGATATGTAGTCAAATATGACAAGACGTCAATATCAGCACTTAAGCAATCATTTTATATTGATAGTTTAGAATTCTACTTACTGTAAACACAAAAAATGTTAATGTAATATATACTTTCTGCAGTGTATCTGCTGAATATCATCATAAAACAAAGGAGAATGGTAGGAAAATACACTTTTAAAACCATGTTTTTCCATTCAATGACAATCAATAAAAATGCAATAACAATCAGTTAAAAGACCACTAACATTGAAACCTAGTTCAATAGTCTTTCATTTTCTATCATAGGCACAGTCAGCACTGGTTCCTTGAAATGTCAGCTGAAGCATTTGCAAGCAATCAGTAGCATTTTTCACATCACAAAGGATTGCGGTCATTATCAGTGTATGTGTTGGTGATGGTCATGCTATACGTATACATTTATTTCACATTTGTGTTTTATAGGCAGTGCTGCCCAATCCACTAGATCAACTATTGAGAAAGAAAACAATTATTTGATGCTGAAAGACTCTTTTAAACTCTTCTCTGCTTGCTCCTTTTTGATTATTTTCCAAGCAAAGGGTATATCAGCGGGGCGAGCATTGTATTCTTCAGCAAACTTAGTGTTGAAACGGGCCATCACATATTTCATTTTATTTTCACAGCTTCTAGTATCCCCATGGTGATCCCTCTAAGGTGACGTTCCTCCAACTCAGACACTTCATGTCCATTTGAAAACTGTTTGGTGATTTGATCTGATATCCAGCCCTTAACAACACGTTCATAGGAGGAAATGTACTTCACATACTGTTCAAACGCATCTTCTCTGAGCAGCTGCTTTAAGAGTGTGTACTGAAAAAATCCACGAGTGCTGAACTGAAATGCATTTTTACCCTGAATCATTTTGTCAACGATGTCTGGACCCAAGGATCTGTAGATGAATGTCTCAACTGCAGGAATCAGGCACAGTTTAGTGAATTCTTCAGCCTTTCTCTGACACTGATCGCGATCATGGAATAGGTCTTTGAAATCATTGTGATATTTCTCTTTATACTGACCAAGGCATCTGCGTGGGTCATTCTCCTTAATGAAACAATCATGCATGTGTTGAAATTCTTTTGCCGAAAACCCACAAATGTGCAATTTGAGAGATAGTTCAAATTCATCTGAAAATCCTAGATTCTTGTTGAACATCAGTTTGTCATCAATTATGTTTATGATTTCCTGAATGTAGGTGTCATGGTAATCTAAACGTCCCTCTGTCTTTTCCCGGACTACGTGAGAGCACGTGTCTATCATTTCATCTGCCAAATTCTGTAGGTTCACTGCAAAGTTGTCACTGATGATCCGTTTGAACAACTTCTTTAATAAATTTTCTTTGGTGACTTTGAACACCCCTGTGCCATAATTGTTCAGATTGACTTTCATTAATTTCTCTGCAACAGAACTTCCCTTCTGTTTCAGGTTCCTTCGAAGTTGGCTGAAAACACAATCAGATATATTTTTGTTCTCCAGTTCGTTAAATGACAGCTCGTTGACAGTTTCTTGCCATATATGTTCAAAACATCTGTCAAGCTCATTGTCAGTCATATAGGCATCACTATTTGAGTAGTTGTTTTTCCGTAACTCCTCCAGTAGGCCCAACACTTTTTTCTCCATTGTGTCAGTGAATGTTTTCTTGATATGGTCCAAATTAGTCATTCCTCTCCTGATTTCCACTGTCGCTTCAAGCTGTGTCAGCAGAGAGCTCTCAGTTTCCCTTCTGAGAGATTTCACACTGTTCACAAAGTCTTGTTTGTATTTTTCCACAAGACAGACATGACCCTCTGTTTGTTCAAAGTATTTGGACAGATGTTCCATTGTGGTCTTTTCCAATGAGTCAAGCTTTGTGACAGCTTCTTGTTTTAGCCCAAATAAAAGATCTTTCAAGTCTGATTTGTCTGCTTTCAGTTTGAGTATCTCAAAATTTGACACTCTGGTTTCAGCTCCTGTTAACCAAGAGTGCATATGCTTCTTGAAAGACCATTCCCATTTATGAAATTCTGTGCACAGTCTCATGTATGCATCAGCCACCAAGCTGTTTCTGAAGCTAAATATGAAATTTTCATATTTGACTGCATTCCACAAGCTTTTTGTCCACTCCAAAAAATCGGCAATGTTGTTCACAGGGGTTTTGAGTTAGCATTTTCCAATTATGTCAGTCATGTTCTTTTTAAAGTCATAGACAGCCTCGGAGTAGCCAGCATTCACTGGTGCCATTGGAGGATTTCCATGCCAGAGTCCAGGAATATACCAATTGCAAGTCTCCGGATCATACTCCATAACATCAGTAAACATTTTATAGTCCTCCTTGTTCTCCATTTTAGCTGCTGCCTCTGTCATCTCATTCAGCTGCTCCAGAAGAAGCTTTCGGTCTCTCATGTTCTTGTCATGGGCTGATACATCTGCAACATTTTGGTGGACAAACTGACACTTGGGTTTTTTACCTATTTCCTTCATTCTGAGAAAAGCATGGACCACAATCTGCAAAACGTCCTTCATCTCTGTGGAATTCTCCATTGCGATGTTGATGATTGTGATATCACTCAATCCAACAACCAGTGTGGCTAATTCATTGTCATGTTCATGGCTATCATCTAGTTTTGCCAGCTCTGGGGATTTCAGGCCTTCAGTATCAATTACTACTAAACAATCACAGCCAAGTTTTTTCCTGATGTCCTCTGTGACTCTGATCAGTTGCATGAAAGCTCCTCTGGTGCGTCGTCCACTGCTGACTGCAAACTGAACTCCAAACATGGTGTCCAGCAAGGTGGACTTCCCTGTGCTCTGGACGCCTAAAACTGTGACCACTATGATTTTATTATTGGGCTGCACCAAAAAGTTCAGATAATGAAGCACATCACTCACCCATCTGAGAGGAATATTTGATGCATCTCCATCAACCAGTTCAAGAGGGAAGCCATCCAACATCAGCTGAGCACATAGCCGAGGTAAGTGTAGCATTTGTTGATGTGATTCTGAGTTTTCTGGAAGCGACACCGCAGCTTCATAGAGTTGGCCCATTTCACGCAGGAAGTGCTCTATTCCTAAAGAACTGTTAGAGATCTGTTGGTCAAGTTGTGCAATCTCCTCTTTGTTTTCTGAAAATTGTTGACTCTTTTCTTTGTACTTTTCTCTGAGGCTAGAGAGGTTTTTTTTGGGAGAGATTGTCTAGGTTCATCCGCATCCACTTCAAGAAGTAGGACCTTTCCTGGTCTGAGGTAGTTAGTGCACTAACAAAGCAGGACATGGCCTCTGAGATATCATATTTACTCTGCTGTTTCCTGAGTTCAGTCTTTTTCATCTGGAGATGACTCTTGTATGTCTCTATGTTTTGATCACCAGCTTTCCGGAGTCTGCATTCCTCTTTCTCCAGTTTTGCCAAATCTTTCCATATTTTACCCTGAAGGGGAAGCTGATCCTGTTTGAACTGCATTGTGTCCAGTATTTCTTCTGTTATGAAGTGTGCATTCTTTTTTGCTTTCTGACATTCTTTGATGTCTTCATCAACTTGAATTCCGAGTTCATGTGCTATGGTGTCCATTCCCTCCAGGCATGCTTTGTTTGGGAGATTATTAAGTATGTAATTTACTGTAGAATGCAGATTTTTGACAAAATTTGCATCGTTTTGATTGGTCTTCAGAATTATGTTGTTTTTCTTCAAACTCATTTCAGAGGCTGTCCTTTTCAGCTGCTCCAAATTAAATACTTTGCTCTGTCTGTTGCCCACTAAAAAAAACTGTGCATTAGCATGTTGGTTGGTGAGTAGCTTGTAGTTTGTGTCCAGATTGTCAAAGAACACAAAAACTGCAGTGGAGGTCTGGCATAAGAAGGAGTACTGTGTTTCAAAGGCACTGATGTCGCCTCTCAAGTTTGCAAAAGCCACGGGTTCAGGAAAAACATCAATGTTTTTGTTTCCACAAGGTAGATACCAACTCATCTCCACTAACCCATTTGATATCTTTCTTGGAACGTCTCCGCAATCCATGTCACGATGTACAAAAGTGTCATGATATTGTTTGGGGTTGCTGAGCAGTTTGTTTAAGATCTGAGATTTAGAAATGTTGCAATTTCCAAGTCTAACAAAGGACACTAGGGGGAGCTTAGCGTGAACAATTCTCTCCTCCACAAAGCCTTTTTGTTCTGACAAGGAATGAGGTCTAAATTTCTTCACAATATCTCTCATGGCCCAAAGCATGAACATACACTGTTGAGTATCAGAGTTTGGAAGAAGCAAAGGAACAGAGAACTGACACATTGACATTTTCGAAACCATTTCCTGTTGGAGGAAACCATCTGAACAAAGAAAGAGTGCGGTCACTATGTCTAAAGGGTTCACACTGCTGTTCTGATCATTAAGAAAATCGAATGTATCATTGTAAATATCTAAGCTTGACCAATCTTCATCATTACATGAATATTTGACACTTCTTGCAGTCACATTCACCATCATCAGTTTCTTCAGGAACAGCCATGGTAAAGATGATAGAAACTGGGCTGGCTCATCTGTCACTGACCTCATGTCAATCTGTAGCACATCCTTAAGTGAGAGTTTGTTCGGGTAGTGCTGCTCCAACCCCAAATCCTGTAAGAGGCTCTGAATGTTCGTTTCTGTTGAAAAAGCAAGTATTTGTTTATCATTTCATAATTTAATTAGATTTGATATTACTACAAAATTAAGAATGTAAAAAGAATGTTTTTAGTGAAATTTGCTATATCATACTAAATGGTTTGAGCGTATGTGACTGCTGCTTTGCTTCGAAAGCCATTTGGAAGCACTATTGTATTGTGAAAAGAGTACTTATTCCCAGGATTTAGGTCACTGAAAACCACACTGCCTGATTGTGTCGTCTCTTCCTGAATGATTCTTCCATTCTGGTAGCAGACTATATGAAACTTCTTCTCTTCACAGCCAGATGCATCCCAAATAAGAGTAACTGATGTGGATCCCACACTCTCAGCCTTGAATTTGTCAGGTGGGACTGGCCCTGTAAATAAATAAATACATCATACATACATACATACATACATACATGAATACTACTTTATGTTGCTACTTTTTCTCAGTTACAAATCTCATACAATTTTAAATAATGCAAGACAATTATTGGTGCATGCAGTCACTTCACTTCTGACACTTTGATTGCCATTTTCTGAAACTGAAACCAGACTGAATGTGTACTCAGTCCCTGGACACAGATCTTCTACTTCTGTGGCAGTGACATTGGTGACAGTGAAGGTCTTTGTTGTTTTAGGGCTGAAGCAAGTCAACTCAAATGTAGCTATGTTGTCTGGACTGTCCCAAGCAAGAGTAACAGAACTGGTCCCAATAAGCTGCACTAAAATTTTACCTGGTGCAGGAACATCTGTGGAAACAAGAATCATACATTTTCAGCATCTGAAAGCAGTCTTGATAAAGTATTGCCAGTACTGACTAATTTATCACATTCAGCATATAGGGATGTTACCATTGCTTTCTGTACGTGATTCAACAACATGTATGGTTAAGAAGGGTTACAAACAGTCAACTTATCATTTTTTCTTTGGAATAATATGCACCAGTGAATCATGCACAATAAGACCAGAAATATGAAAATATAGGGTCAATTTTGGTTTCGTTTTGAGCCAAAAAACATAAAATGGTATCAACTTATTTAGGCTGACAGTAACGCCAATTAAACATAATAAACTATAGTAATAATTAAAGTCATGGATACATTTTTTTCCAACATGTCTGCAAAATTTTCATTTTAATGTAAATTATGGCCAGCATCTCATCAGAGATTAAAGATGGCATAAGGGTAATTTTGTTACCTGGTAATTTGGCAACTTCTTCCTTTTGATATGACTCAAGAGAATGTGGACATGTTTGATGTTTGTCTTCAGTGTCTTCACTAGCAACTTCATTTGCATTTTCCTTTATTTGAAAGTTTTTTCAACGTTAGTGGCATGCAAACTCAGGTGTGTCAAGAGACTACATTTGTTTAAATCCAAAGTTTCTTAAACTCTCAATGTTTTATCTAAGACACATAATTTGCAAAGATAATTTAGCAAAATCTGCCTTATGAAGAAAACAAGATCTATTGCTCACTTCTTCCTTACTGGAGCAGTCCATTGCAACTGTTTACAAGTTTGTTGAGACTCCTAAGAGAAAGAATATGCCATTTGATTACTTAAATATGTACAAATCATTCAATAAATGTTAAAAGTTAAGTGATTTAAATGGTGGCTTGATTTCATTTAATAATCTCACATTTTACAGTATGCAACACTCTAATACAGCAGTGGCGAACTCCGGTCCTGAAGAGCCGCAGCCCTGCAGAGTACAGCTCCAACCCTAATTAAAACTCACCTGCCTGTAGCTTTCTAGTAACCCTTCAGACCTTGATTAGCTTGTTCAGGTGTGTTTGATTAGGGTTGAAGCAAAACTCTGCAGGGCTGCGGCTCTCCAGGACCGACGTTCGCCACCCCTGCTCTAATACATTGAGGAATCCCATAATTACCAAAGAAAACAGGGAAATATCTGACAGATGTAATTAATTTAACAAATACAAATGAGCTGTTGTGTATCTTTTTAGATAAATCTTGTCCAGTCAAATAACGGTCCGCAGATCCATTTTCGGTCTAGAAGGCCCCGACTGAGAGCGTCGCCCTGACCCCCGATCTTCTGTGGAGGGGTGTGGGTTGCAACGCCCTGTTTTGTTTTTGTTTTTTTTGAGACTGGCGATATGAGGAGCTTGACAGCTTGGGCTGCTCCCACTCAGCCGCCCCACCCCTGAGCAGGCCAGCCTGGTATGCTTGTAACACCGCCTCGGAGGAAGATAGATGAAGCGTCTGGCTCTCTCTCTCTGGGGGGGAAGAAACCGCAGCGCGAGCTTCCGAACACTGAGAGAGAGCCGCGGATCTAGCGGGTCGTCACATGTGGTTGCCGCAAGCCCGCCGGACGTGCCGTTCTCAAGCCCGCCGTGTGATGCTGTGTTTCGTTGTGAAAGCTAAACTACTTTGCTGGCCTTCCAAAAGAGGACACGACTATAAATCAGTGGTTAAGTTGTATTTACAACACTGTTCCAGAACACTTCAACCCAAATATTTAGATGTGTGCAGCGCATTTTATGGAGGACTGTTTCCTGATCCTGGGAGAGTAGACTACAATGCCGGCTGTTCTGACTCAGAGACTGTAAGTACGTTTTCATATTTAAAGGATTTGCCACTGATGATTCAAACGTGAGTTTTGAGCAGTGTAGAGTAGCACTTGTTGTTTGTCATTTCTCCGATCACAAATGCAGACATGGTTTTATGTTTACGTGACGCGATGCAACGCAACGCGTAAAAAGACGCTATAAGTCATTAGAATCCGTAATTATGTCCCCACTGGATGCAACAAATGCCTCGTTTATAATGGGTTTTAATGTTTTTGTCTCGTCACTCCGGCCGGGACACGGCATCACAGTACAGTAGCTCCTCACTGCAGAACAAAGATTCAGGAACAGGGTTGGATCCACATCTAGGGGTGGAGATGGTAGGATTAGGGGTGGAGATGGGTGGGTTTAGGGATCAGGGGGTGGAGACGGATAGGTTTAGGTATGTGTAAGGTGGGAGGAGTTGGATCTGGATCCAACCTCGCCCCCTGGATCTTGTGTTCTGCAGTGAGGACCATCTCTCACAGTATGGTAAAGGGCGTAGCATTTCAGTCACACGCTTGAGGTATTCGGCCAATCACAACGCACTGGATAGCTGGCCAATCACAACACACCTCGCTTTTCAGACCGATTAACGCGTTTCAGAAAAGCGGGGCATAGAGGAGAAACAATAATGTACAGTATGTGGAAAATAATGTGTTTTTTGTTGATTTAAACCGTATAAACACATTTCATTACACCAAATACACAAAATAATGTTATTTTTAGCAACATCATATGACCCTTTTAAGATTATATTTGCCCCCTTAAACTGATGTCCATATATTTATTTAGAATAATAGGACACTACAGGGCTGTTAGCAGTCAAATTAAATCAGTAGGCTATTAACAAAATCTATCTTTCAGTGCTGGTACAGAAGCTGTATCCGAAGTGATTTAGATATTAAAACAGACTGTTTAATGCAGCTCACAACTGAATGCTCATTGTTTTAAACAACCGTGATGCTGCACTCTCTTAACCCTAAAAATGGCAAGACCATAAAGAGACATCAGAAAATTAATTTATTGCTATTTTCCATCTTATTGGGACACAAATAATACAACTTGATAATTTTTTTCAAAACATGACTTTTAATTTTGATTTTAATGTTTGTATCCCACAGGATACGTTGCCAGTTTGGGGGTATAAATTAACTGAGAACAGAACACTTGTTTATCAAAGCATTTCAAAAAAAGAAAGTATAAAAAAGTTATAGAAGTCTAAGTTTGCAGTAAAGATAACGCAGTATACTATTTTTTTTTTTATTGTATATAAAATAAATACTTTATAGAATATGTTGCACTTCAACTTGCTATAAAATCTAAACCATATGGCTAACCAAGTTATGTTTCAAATTTGAAGTTGATATCACCAAAATTGTGGTTCCTGTGAGATTTTGTTTGGGCACTATACCAAAAATAACCACTGGGTGACACCCAAACTCTATTGAATTCTTTTGATGCAGTTTTCTGTCACAATATCACTTCTATTACAAAACAGTCACCAAATATGGAATCTTGACTGTCAGACCTTTCCAACGATATGTGTTTTGTCAAGATTACAAAAAGATTCGATTTTCTAAAACACAAGCCACAAAATCACAGAGTATAATATATATATATGTTTTTATATCTTGATTTATACCACTGAAAGGGTGGCGTATCCCTTGAGATACAAACATTTAGAGACAGATTACAAAAAAAATGTAAGCATTTAATTCATAACATTTCAATGTAAACCTAATAAGCTAATGCTGAACAACAGCTTTTTAAACAGGTAAGTCCCCTCCAACGTGTGTAAATATGTCAACTAGACCAACTTTTATAGGAGGGTGAGTAGATTACTACAGGTGGCCATGCAGTTTTAAATGCTGCCCTTGAGCTAAACTTATAACAGGTAAGTCCCTTCCAACATGTGTAAATATGTGAACTAGATCAACTTTTATCAGAGGGTGAGTAGATTTCCCACTACATTTCCCATGCAGTTTTAAATGCTACCCATGAGCTAAACAAAGAATGTATGAACAAAGTCAATATATCTAAATATTCACAACAAACACCCTTTCAACATGAAACCAACAAATGAGACCTACACTTTCACTGCCTCTCCCCACAGCCTCTCAAATGTTTGTATCCCACGGTATACGTCGCCAGTTTTAGGGTTAATGTTTAGTTTTTATATTTGATATAATGTGATTATGTGTTTAAATTATGCCGTGGGTATAAAAATGTATAAAGCCAATTGCTTAATCAGACTGGGGAAATTTTACCCCACCTGTGGGGCAAAACGCCCCAAATGTAATTTTTGTTAAAAATCTAATAACATGAAAACTGTGGACATTTTACATACTTGGTTTATCATTTCTGTCATTGTCACTAAGATAACTATTCTGGACACATTTAGCTTTTGTGCCACAGAAAAAAAAAATCACAGTCC